CACCAGAGGGCAGCATGGAACATGGCTGGCATCAATGACACGGTGCTGGCAGCAGGTGGCAGTGGAGGTACTGCCAGCTGCAGTAGGGCCTGAGTGGAACTGTGGCAGGATAGTGGAGCACGTTAGCGGGCAGCACCAGGTCAGGGCAAGTGCAAGCAGGGCCTAATCACACTGCCAATTGCCCCGCAGATGGTGACAAGTGGCGGTGGCAGGGGGTGGGGCAACCACTAGTTCCCAGATGCTGAGGGAGCTGGGTAGAGTATTGATGACTCAGGTGTAGTGGGGTGAGCTGGAGCCCTGGGGCCCAGGTGCTGCCCAGAGGTCAGCTGGGACCTGCCCTTCCATGCCAGATGCTCGCACTTCAATTGTCAGCTAGTCCTAGGGACTGCACCCATGCACGAATTTTGTGCACCGGGCCTCTAGTCTAGATACATAAAATTCTAATATGTTGTGTCCAACTGATCACTATGACGTATCCTGACCACCAGGGGGCAGATGCTCAACACAGAAGCTGCTGAGCTGCAGTGACTTGGCAGCTGCAGTTCTCGGGTGACACATCCCAATACCAGAGAGGAGAGAGTCCGATTCCTCACCGGTCCCTGCAATTCCACCTTTGGTTGTGGGTTATGTTATTTCTGGGGCACCGTGGGCCCTGAATCCACACCCTGTACTAACACAACTTTGCAGTGTGCCCTCTCACACTCTGGGGCCCTTGAAGGATGTCAGAGAGCTGATTTCGGTCTGATCCCCACAGGTCAGGCAGAAGGACCCACCTGTCAGAGGGACCCCGTTCACTTCGCAGATGCAGGGGAAGGACTGCGGGAGGTTGGCTCCAGGATGTGTCTGGCCCATCTTGCCCAGTCCTATCCTGCAGCCACCTTATAATTAATTTCCTTTCAATGTGCACAAATCCATGCACCGGGTCACTAGTTTGTAAAGAAAAAGGGTGCTGAAGAGCAATAGTGTTTTAAGATGTAATTAGGCCATTTTTTAAAACCAATATTTTGTAATGGGTTTCTGACTCCAAATCAAATTCTCTGGAATGCCTTGATAAAAAATTTACTCTTTACTTTTAATTCTAATAGCCTAATTTGCGCTCTCTCTCTCTCTCTCTCTCTCTCTCTATATATATATATATATATATATATATATATGTTCAATTCTGGTCAAGGACATGTACCTTGGTTGCAGGCACATCCCCAGTATGGGTTGTGCATGAGGCAGCTTATCCATGTTTCCCTTTATTGATGTTTATATATATATCGATATATCTATATATCTATATATCTATATCTATATCTATATCTATATCTATATCTATATCTATATCTATATCTATATCTATATCTATCTATCTATCTATCTATCTATATATATATATATATATAGAGATATAGAGAGAGAGAGAGAGAGAGATATTAGAGTCCCAGTGCATGAAATTTGATTTGTGCACAGTCGGGGCTCCCCCCCCTCAGCCCAGCCTGCCCCCTCTTCAATCCAGGACCCCTCAGGGGATGTCCAACTGCTGGGATCAGGCCTAAACTGGCAGTCGGACATCCCTCTCGTAATCCTGGACCACTGAATCCTAAACACTCACCTGCCTGCCAGCCTGGTTGCCCCATGCAGCCTGCTAATTCAGTTGTTTGGTTGTCCCTCACTAAGCCCCTGCCAGCCTGGTTGTAGGCAGCCATCTTGTGAGAGCCTGAGGTTTAATTTGCATATTGCCTTTTTATTATATAGGATATAATTATTAATAGTTTTGCTTAAGCTTAACAATTTTCATCCTTTGAGGATATTTGATGATTTTATTAGGAAGTAAAGCATGCTAGGTTTCAGTGTCTTTTTAAATTTGGAGGTTTTAAGCTTTAATTTGCAAGAATATCATTATGAGTAATGAATTAGAGTGTCAGTTTTTATTGAGTTCTTGAAAGAGAGAGAAAGGGAAAGGGGGAGAGAGACAGAAACATCGATGAGAGAAAGCATCTATTGGCTTCCTCCTTCATATTCCCTACTGATGATTGAGCCCACCACCCCAGTTTGTGCCCTGACCAGGACTCAAACCAGCAACCTCTTGTTATATGGGACAATGCTCAACTAACTGAGCCACATCAGCCAGGGCTAGATAAAGTCTGTTGTTTAAAAAAAAATTATTGAATTTTTTTTTTACAGAGAGAAAGGGAGAGGAATAGAGAGTTAGAAACATCAATAAAGGGAAACATGGATAAGCTGCCTCGTGCACAACCCATACTGGGGATGTGCCTGCAACCAAGGTACATGTCCTTGACCAGAATTGAACCTGAGACCCTTCAGTCCACAGGCTGATGCTCTATCCACTGAGCCAAACCAGTTAGGGTGAGTCTGTCATTTTCGTTGTTTTCTTCATACCTTACTTTCCTCTCTTAGTGGGGCTCAAAAATTTAGCTAAAGTTTGTTATTGAAGTCAAAAATTTTAATCAAAGTTATCCTCACTTATTCTTCTAGATCTAGCAATGGAGCTTAAACTATGTCTCTATATTTTTCACATCATTCTTTTCTCTCAGTAATAAAGTGAACTATTTTAAATGCAATTTATAAAGATTAAATTAAAATGTGCAAATATCACAAACCTAAAATTGTTGATCTGTATATTCTCTTTTACAAAAAAATAGTGGTTTTTAGATATTTTTACCAATAAGAGATAGAATTCTCCCTCATTTTTCTTCCTAACTAATCACATTATGTTAGTAAAAAGAAATTGTATAATGTTAACCTTTCCCCCCCTATAATAATAAAACACATAATCAGATACCAGAAATCTAATATTAAAAGACCATAGACTAAATAACCCATTTCTGATTAATCCATGTATTAATTACTTTCTCTTCTTTGTCTCTCACAGTGCTCAAGGAAATTTGATATAGTGTTTGTTATAATGTACACAGTTCTTGCTGAGGATAATGTGATTTTTTATTCTATTTCATTCCATTCTGTTCCATTTCATTTCATTCCATTCCATTCCATTCCATTCCATTCCATTCCATCCTATATATTGATATAATTGTGAAGTCTTCAGTCTTGGCTATTCTAAAACTGGAGAATATCTCTAGAGAAAATTACTATTCTTCCTTTAAAATAATTAAAAAAGATACAGAGCCACTCTAAGATGAGACTAGAAGTAAGAGAGTTAAGTGAAAAGCATAGGGCAAACACAGAATCTGGGTTGGAAACATATTAGTAAGATTAAGTAAATATTAAGTTAATTTAAGTAAACCACTTTATTTGAAAGATGAAAGTAACTGATGTTCAGAGATATTGATTGCCCTAACCAGGTCCCTGGCTAATTAGTGGCAGTTTTGATGAAATGCAAATCTTCATTGAGATCTCTTTTCACCCATCTCCAAATCTAAGTGAGACAAGGAGCTTCCGAATACTCAAAATGAAAATAGACTGCTGCATAAAGTCTTTATTAGTTGGCAAAAAATTAAATATAATCAATAGAGTTCTTAGAAGTAGTGACAGAAAATGAAAATACCTCCACATCACAGATTAACATTAACATTATCTCTATATATCAAGTGGATAACATTTCTTTTTCTACTGACCAGAATTAGAGTTTGTTTTCCAGGACAATTTTGCAAAATTGATACCAGGACAGTACTTTGACATGGTTTGCTTTAAAACACATTTAAAATATATGGCTAAGAGTTTTAGAAAATATTTCACTGTTGAATACATTTCACATTGAATTAATATAAGTTAATTGCATTAGTACTAAATTGAATTACTTGAATCAATAGTAAAATATTATGAACACCATGTGAACACACATAAAAAGTCTTAATGGTTGACAAAGTCTAGAATCAAGCACATTAGATTGAAATTAATTTAGATATAATACAATAAATGTCAATCATGAAGCCTAAATAATTACATGTTCTCAGAAAAGAAGTGTTGGAGTCCTCATTTGTGCTTGATGCCAGATTTTCTCATGCACTTTGAATCAACTTTTCCTGTCCTTGGTTCATATTTTGTGCAACAAAATTAAGGTTTAACACAATTATTTAGAGGGTATTTTTTTTGCCACTAATCAGTAATATAATGACAGGTCTATCTATAGATAATGATATATTTTTGTTCATTTAGAGAGACCTCATTTTATTCTATTTGTGGATTAGATAACTTAGGTGAGTTTTTGTTTAGAGGAGCAATGTAGTGAATTGATCATTTCCAACATTTAGGGAATAATAAATGGTTGGTGAATTATACAATTTTCTTTTTATCTGATGGCATATTCTTCCCTCAGCATGCTATTTCTATAGTTTTTCACAAAGTGATGTTAAATCATGGTCATGCAGATGATTTTGTGAGCTAGAGTTTGTTTTTCTTGCTAATAGGTCATGTGAGGTGTATATTTTCAAAGATTAATGATAGTGCTGTAAATTTAAGGAACATTATAATTTTACTTTGAGAAGAGGGGTGAAAGTAAAGGTAGTAGTCTGCACTCATCAATCCTATCTAATGACAGAGCACTTCACAATGTACGATGTACTATGGACTCTTTGCAAGACCAGAAAAGTACTGTAGTAGGTTATCCACATATTGCAAGAATTGAAGAAGTGCATTTTGAGTACGAGATAAAGTTGTTTGTTGAACAGCAGGGGAAACTGTAGTCTCTGTTTGTGGTGTTGGTGTATTTGAGGGTTGTTGTGATAATGTCATAGTTGAAGAGTCTGGGGTGCCAGTATTTTCTTCAGTAAATGTGGTGAAATAAACCTGAGTAGGTTTCTCATCTGGAAAGGGAGCGGATGTGAGTGGAACTTGGTTGGGAGCCCCTGAAGTATTATTCTTAACGACGGTGCTATTTTTATCTAAACAATTACGTGGCCAGTAATGTTTTTGGATTCTGTAATTTGTGTAGTATTTGTGGTGATGAATGTGATAGACTTGTCTCCGGACAGGTCGAAATTGAGGATGAAACAGTGGTCGGCGGACTAGTATAACTCTACGAGGGACAAAAATCCTTCTGGGATATATGTTCCAGCCCCTTCTTTGACCTTCACTGACCTAAAGAAAAGAAAAAAAAATGCATTGATTTATCAACAAGGGGATTCTGTTGAAGTGTGATGACCAGTAGTTTTGGGAGTGGAAGTGAGTTTGCAGTGAGTTGAGTGATTATCCTCCTAACGTCACCAACCAAATCTCAACAATGCCTTGCTGTTAGAGAGTTGCCTTTTGTCAATTGTTTAATTCTTACCTCACTAAGATGGATATATGTCTGTGGGTTCAAACTTAGAGAATTAGCTATATCTGCCCTTTTTTGCTTCATTTCTTAGCCTTCTGATAGAAAATGATCAGGTTACTGCCTGAACCAAAGGGCTCCCCTGATGCCATCCTTTGTCCATGAAATTTCAGCCAAAGATATTCAACTGAGATCCAAGAGTCCTTTCTTAATCACACCTTCATATCTACAATCATCAAAAAACTAAACAAAATGACAAAAACCCAAACAACCAACTTAACAAATACGCCAACTCAACTTCATAGCCTACATATTGTAGGAAAGTTAGTGTTTAGCATTTTCAAATTGGAGAAAGAACTTTAACTATTACCTTTTAACTTTATCATTGTAAAATTAGAATTACAGAAAGTCAGGGGTCCATGAATCCTATGATATGGTAGAAATTTTTATTGTTTATTCATTTTGTCTAAATAGAGGTCTTATAGCTTTTATGATTTCTCAAAGGTGTCACATCTGAAAAGGATAATGATCTTGCCCAACTGTACAATTGATCTTTTTCTAATATACCTCCTGAATGGCTTTCCAGCCCATGCTTGACAACTTCTTCTAATTGGAAGCTTACTACTATTTTTCCCAAGGTGGCTTGCTAGACTCTAGCAGGTAGAAAGTTCTTGCTACTGAATGTATGTTGTTTCTTGAAATTTCCATTTTTAACTGAATAGAGACTCATTTATTCAGATTTCCATTCTTGGTTCTAATTCTATGCTTTGACAGCATATAGAAGATACTGGAGTCCTTCAAAATTTGAAAATACCTACCATGCCATCTGGGTCCATATTCTGCAAGATAAACATTCTTAGCTCTGTTAACCATAACTGACATTATTTGAGTTAGAGTACATCTCTGTTTTAGTTTCTTAAAAAAAGTGTTTTTTAAAAATTGATTTTAGAGAGGGAAGGAGAGGGATAGAAGCATCAATGATGAAAGAGAATCATTGATTGGCTGCCTTCTGCATGCCCTACACTGGGAATTAAGCCGATAACCCAGGCATGAGCCCTGACCAGGAATCTAACCATGTCATCCTGGTTCACAGACTGATGCTCAACCACTGAGCTACACCTGATGGGCTGTTTTAGTTTCTTATCTCTAAACATATTGCAATTTATCTGTTTATTTTCTATATTTCATTCATATTAGAATTTTGAATGATCGATTATATTACTTTTTAAGCAGGGAAAAGAAATTTAACATAAGGATAAAGGGGTACCTCCCAAAGTTTCAAGCAAGAAGAAGTGACATTTTTCCTCTCAATGATTTCTACAAGAACCCTTTTTTAGACCACCAAATACATAAACCATTCCAGACCCACACTGTAAAGTTGTCTCCAGAGACAGAATTTAGGACAAGCAACATGACAACTTCTGAGAGACTTAGCAGTGATTCAGCTAAGTTAGCTTCCCTAGAAACTAACACACCCAGACTAAAAAATAACTTCAGAAAGCAATTAATTGTTTAGAAACTTAAATTATCCAAAGTATTTTAGTTCTTACTCAAGAACATCCATAAGTTAAACAATGGCTTCTTATCCACAACACCTTGATATTTTTGCATAGAACTCTCTTGAAAGAACATAGCATTCCAGAATCTGTAACTGAATCTGGTATGTTCCTCTGATTATTGAACCTCTCAGAAGATTCTGTCCATTAGAGGGCAGTAGGTTTCTGAACATAAAATACACAGGTCAACTTGATCTTGGAGATTCAATATGCAATCCAGATAAACACAAAACCTCTGTGGTTGAAATGGCATTGAGGGCCTGCATTCCACCAGCTTAGTCCTTCTCTTCCAAGGTGGTCTCTGAGGATGGTGTGAAAAAATTTTTGATCTTTTAAAAATCTTATTTTTAAATTTCAGTTTATATTTATTATTATTTTTATTAGTTTCAGGTGTACAGCATAGTAGTTAGAAAATAATATATTTTACAAAGTGATCCCCCTACCAGTATTTCCAGTACCCATCTGACACCATACTTAGTTATTATAATATTACTAGAGGCCTGGTAATAAAATTTGTGCGGGGGGCGGGGGGGTGTCCGTCAGCCCAGCCTGCACCCTCTCCAATCTGGGACCCCTTGAGAGATGTCTAACCGCCCTTTTAGGCCTGATCCCATGGGATCAGATCCCAAGGGATCAGGCCTAAAAGGGCGGTTGAACATCCCTCTCACAATCCAAGACTGCTGGGTCCAACCACTCACCTGTGTGCCTGCTTGATTGCCCCTAACCGCTTTTGCTTGGCAGCCTGATCACAACCTAGCCACTCCCCTGACAGCCTGACTGCTCCCCAGCTGGCCTAATTGCCCCTAACTGCCCTCCCCTGCCAGTCTGGTACCCCTAACTGTCCTCCCCTACAGGCCTGGTTGCTCCCAACAGCCCTTCCCTGCCAGCCTGGTCACCCCCAACTGCCCCCTTCTGCTGGCCTGGTCAACCCCAATTGCCCTCCCTTGCAGGCTTGGTCCCTGCCAACTGCACCCCCCTGCACACCTAGTCACTCCCAACTGCCCTCCCCTGCCAGTTTGGTTGCCTCTAACCATCCTCCACAGCAGGTGTGGTTGCCCCCAACTGTCCTCCTCTGATGGCCTGGTCACCCTTAACTGCCCTCCCCTGCAGGTCTGGTTACCCCTAACTGCCCTCCCCTGTAGATTTGGTCCCCCTATTAACCTCCCCTTTTGGCCTGGTCTCCCCCAACTGCTCTCCTCTGCTGGCCCAGTCACTCCTAATTGCCCTCCCTGCTGGCCTGATTGCCCATAACCACCCTTCCCTGCAGACCTTTTCCCTCAACTACCATCCTTTGCAGGCCTAGTCCCCCCCAACTGCCCTCCCCTGCAGGCCTGGGTCCCCCCAATTGTATTCTACTGTAGGTCTGATCCCCCTCCAGCTGTCCTCCCTTGTTGGCCTATATCCCTCCACTCCCCTCATCTGCTAGCCTGGTCACCCCCAGCTGCCCTTTCCTTCAGGCCCTCTTGTGGTGGCCATCTTGTGTCCACATGTGGGGGCATCTTTGGCCACCTGGGGGTGATCATCTTGTAGTGATGGCCATCTTGGAGTGATGGCCAATTTGCATATTACTCTTTTATTAGATAGGATTCCCTATGCTGCACTTGACATTCCCACGGCTATTTTATAACTACTAATTTGTACTTCTGAATCTTCACCTTTTTCACCCAGTCTCCTAAACTCCCTCTGGCAACCATCAGTCTGTTCTGTGTCTATGAATCTATTTCTGTTTTTTTAGTTCATTTAAGAAGGACTTCCAACTCTTACAGGAGCATGTTTGAAACACACTGCAGCCAATGGAGTTTTGGGTCTGTCCTGCATTTACCATTAAATAACTGAGTGACTTTGGGCAAGTCACTAATTTCATTGGATCTCAGTTTAATCTTTTAGGAAATAATTTAGATTAGGTTAAAGTCCAGATCCAAAATTATTATTGCATGACTCATATGCTTTAAAATAGATATGCTGTTCATTCCCTTAATGAACAGCATACCTATTTCACAAAGGGGCAGGGATTTTGTTTTGTTAATCTCTGTTTGCCCAATATGTAGAATTTATACCTGACACATAACAGGCACCATTAGATATTTATAGAATGAACAAATGAATGAATTGATAATAAAGAAATTTCTTATTGAGTAAAATCTTAATACTTAAAGGTATTTATTAGGATTTGAAAAAATTTTAGCAATTAATAGTATATATGGTGTTTTAATATGAAGCAAATAATTAAAATCCTATTTTAATGTTAGCTTAGCATAGAACTTGTTTTTTTTTCAATCTTCATCTGAGGATAGTTTTCCCATTGATTTAAAAAAATATATTTTATTGATTTTTTACAGAGAGAAAGGGAGAGAGATAGAGAGCTAGAAATGTCGATGAGAGAGAAACATCGATCAGCTGCCTCTTGCACACCCCCTACCGGGGATGTGCCCACACCCAACGTACATGTCCTTGACCAGACTCGAACCTGGGACCCTTCAGTCTGCAGACCAACGTTCTATCCACTGAGCCAAACCTGTTTCAGCTTCCATTGATTTTTAAAGAGAGTTGAAAAGAGAGGGAAAGAGAGATGTGAGAGAAATACATTGTAAGTGCCCCAACCAGGACCCAATATACGCTTTTGACTGAAATTGAACCCAATCAAAAATCCTTCTGTCCACAGTCGATGCCCTATTCACTGAGCCAAACCAGCTAGAGTGCATAGAACTTGTATCAAATACTCAGTTTGACTAATTATTATGATTGATAGTTATAGATGCCTTTAACAAAACTTGTTGATTAGAATTGGGTTTAGGCAAGCTTGAGAGGGGAAGGAGTAGAAAATGCCTCTAAATGTTTGAACTTAATGACTGAAGTATGGAGGTGCTGAGAATAAATATGAATAAGCCAGGGAGAATGTGTTAAACATATCCTTATTTGGCTGTTCACATGATATTTATATTTGTAAAAACATTCTTGTATAGCACTTATTTTGTGTCAGGTTCTATTCTTTTTTTTTTTTTTTTTTTATAAACATAACTTTATTTCATTCCTTAGCAACACCATAAGGTGAGTACTATTATTATCATCTTCATTGTACAGATGAGAAAGCTGAATCCCAGAGAGATTAAGTAAGTTTTAGGAGAAGGTGTGTCCATAGGTAAACCACACTTTCAGGAGAGTGGTGGAAGAGAGAAAGAGGAGGTGAGGAGTGAGGGGAGAGTGGGCTGGCGTAGGGAGGGAGAGGTGTAGAGAGGCATGTGACACCTGGAGCAAGAAAGAAAGGGTAGGAGGAAGCTGAAGTTTCCAAAATAACTAGACGCAGGCGTCTTCAAACTACGGCCCGCGGGCCACATGCGGCCCGCAGAGGAGTCTGATCCGGCCCGCCAGGTTTTTTGGGCAGTGAGCGCAGCCGAGGTGTTACAGTAGGAATTAGTAGTTCATATAGTCCGGCCCTCCAGCTCTCTGAGGGACCGTGATCTGGCCCCCACTTTAAAAAGTTTGAGGACCCCTGGAGGAATGCTAAAATTTGAGAGTTGAAGGAGGAGGAAAAATCAGGCCATAAAAAATATAGAAATAATCGAAAGAAAGAGAACTAGAAAAGTACAAGGTCAAAATGGCATATACCGGTACTTAAAATTAGAAAGCACATTAAATGTCTTCATTTTTGGTTACTAGCCTATTTTTATGATCATTTGAAAACCTTTAATCTCTTTTCCAAAGAGGAAGGAAGCAATATATTTAAGTAATGTTTAACAGAGCTTCTATCTGATTCCAGAATACTTCCCCTCAGTCTGTTTGGGGCATCTGAAAGAAAGCAACCAGACTATATGCTCCCTAAAATCATTCCATACAAGCACAGGATGTTATATAATAGTTAGAACTCCAGGGCTGATCTCCGATTGCGAGCTGGTGCCACACTCTGGTACATTCATTTTCAAAGGACCAAGTCAAGGTATTCCTGAGCTACCTCCCCATATTCAAAGCCTTTGGAAGTTCTTCCTCTCACTGGAAGCATTGGAGAAGTGGGCAGTTTTATTTTTCCTGAACTGTGGAAGGGATGGCTCATTAAGTGCATGGATTTATAGGCAGCACCTTGAAGGGCCTCCTTAAAATAAAAACCGGGCTTTAGTCATTCCACAGCCACACAATGATTTGTGTTGATTGAAATAACATTTATTTCCATCTAGAGGTTTTTAGTAATCAAAATAGTAAAATTTGACTTATTAAAAAGCTAATACCACCAGGCATATTCGACTTGAAATTCTTAACAACTAGCATATAAATAGAAATTACAATAATCTTATAGTTAAAATTTTTACATCTATGCAGTGCTTTACAATTTATAAATGTATGTGTTCTCACTTACTTTTCAACTGCCTAGTGAAGCATATACTGTTATTCTATTTTCACATTGGGCAATTGGAGTCCTATGGGTACGTTTGTAACTCAGGTTCATCTGGATATTCAGAAGATAAGCTTAAACTCACATCTTCTGAGCCCAATTTCAGTGAATTCTTTGCTACAGTCACAAAAATTAGCATAGGGTCCAGGGGGGGGGATATATCTATATATATCTATATATATCTATATCTATATCTATATATCTATATATCTATACACACACACACACACACACACACACACACACGCACGCACACACACACATAATATTCTGAGGCTATCCAACTTCATGCAACAAATCTACATTCTACTTCTTGATTCTTCTTTCAAATTTGTCCAAATAAAAGTGAACAAATACATATAGGTATAGTGCCTTAGAAGCAAATATGGTTACTTATTGCACCTTGTATCACCTTGAAGCATTACAAATATTAATATTCTTTTCCCAGCTGACCCTAAGTATCGTAAAGACAGAGTTCATTTTGTAATCTCTTTGTTTTTGAAACCATGCTTTCCTGTTCCCTTTTGTGGTTCCTCCATTTTCTCTATCCAATCTCTTTGGGTGATCTTCTAAGGTCCCATGTTTCTATATATGTTTTAAATACAGACTTCACCCCTTGACTTCTTTTTGAACTCCAGAAATCAATATTTCTGATTGTCTCTTAACATCTTGTAGAAGTCTAATAGCCACTTCAAATTTAACATAAGTGAAACATAACTCTTTTGTTCATTTCTTTCTTTTACTATACTCCAAAATGCAGCAGGAGTTATGGTAGACTTAAACACTAAAATATACCCTCATGTTGTAATTGCTGACATTTAGTGCAAGTCACCATTTTCCCTTATGTGAGCCACTGCTATAGTTCCTTGAGTGGGCTTTACCTCAATTTTTGTCTCCTACAGTTCACTTTCTCTTCAGACCCAGAGTTATGTCACTGCCCTATGGACACCGTAATTATCCTGAGGCTTTCTAATCTATGGAGGGCTCCATGTTTTATAACAATGGGGCCCTACAGGATCTGTTTTCTGCATTTCCATCTGATCCCATCACAACCATGATAAAGGTGGTGCTACATCAATGTCAATTAAGTGAAACAAATAATTTCCTTTTGGATTAATTATCCATTGTCTGATGTGCCACAGAAAATAAAAGATATCAAGCTTCTTGGAAATAGAAAATTGCATATTGTACTTTTGAAGTCTCAAGTTTGTTATTGATCTACAAGAATAAAAGTTGTTTGGGTGGAAACTTACTTTGAAGCAAACACTGAATGCACAGATGCACACTAGCAGTGGCAGAGTTTTCATCTTTTCCTATTGGTTCCTAGAAAAAGCAGAAGAATGGATCACTATTAGTTATTGTATATTATTGTGGAACAGGGACACATTTTGGTAAATTACTAATTTTTGTTAGAAAGTACAGTTTAAAAGAGAGAAATTGTTTCTGAAAATGGTTTACCTATGTCTACTCCATAGTGGTGAGGTAAAATTCAAGCTAATATACATTTATTTTTTGGAGAAAGCAATAGAAAAAGTAAAAAAAGTCTTATTGTAATTAACTTGAATGAACATTTTCCACTGATACTACATATTGCCTAGAAAGGGCAAGATCTTAGGAAGTTTAGCAATAAGAAAAGAAATAATTTTATTCTTTTTTTTCTATTCTAATTCTAGAAGCTTCCTGTTAGGTGAACCATTATATAAACTACATGATATTTACTAAACATTATTTTGTAAATGTTTTATAATATTCTTTTATTATTATTTTTTCATGACTTTCTTTTAAATAAGGAATATGCTTCTTGTTTCTATGTTCTGAGGCTGTTACCGTGTTTCCCCGAAAATAAGACATCCTTCGAAAATAAGACCTAGCGTATGGAAAGATAAGACATCCCCTGAAAATAAGACCTAGCGCAACTTTGGGAGAAAAAATTAATATAAGACACTGTCTTATTTTCGGAGAAACAGGGTACTTAGGACAAACACTTTTCAATCAGACTTGTCCTGAAACTTCATTCTACTGAAGATTTTGCCATTTGATGCCCTTTTGCTAAGTTTCTAAAGAACAAGAATCATGTTTCATTCATTTTTATATCATCATGCTTAGCATATAGTACAGATTTAATAACTAATTTAAAAAATAACTACTTCCAAAATATAATTTTACTTTTTGGCTATGTATTGTAGGAGGGGAGGATTAAAGAAAGACATGACCTTTTATTTTTTTTTATTCGATCATGTATACTATATATATATATATATATATATATATATATATATATATATGTATATATATATATATCAGTTTGATTTCAGAAAAAATGAAGATTATGTTATTATCTAGACAGAGTATATATTAGGGCAAGTAAATTAGATACACCTCATAATATAGCCTTGTGTTTTATCAAACTGGTATTAAAGTCAACCACGCTTGTTTTAAATCCCAGCCCTGCTACTTAAGATGTGACTTGGAGTGAGTTGCAATTTTACATGCTAAGATTGCCATGAGGACCAACTGAAATAATGTAAATTACAAATTGTACTGAGGACAATGTGCAGTCCGTGGTAAAGTCTTAGAGGTGGTTATGGTTATAGTACTAGTATACCCAGAAGAAAGTATCTTGTCCAACTGGAGAAAGAAATTCTTATTTTATCAAATTGCTAACATACTATCAAATTGTCTTCTTTCATTGTCAAGATTAAACAGTATTCCCCACAGATAATATTTTCTTCAAATAAACACAGGAGTTAGCCTGCTGTGATGTAGTTTAACAGTTCACAAAAAGAAAAAAGAATATTAGTACAACGACTCTGTTTCTCTCTCCCTCTCTCTCTCTCTAAATATCTATATTTATATCTATATCTATAATATATCTATAATATATCTATAATATATCTATAATATATCTATAATATATCTATCTATATCTATATCTATATCTATATCTATATCTATATCTATATCTATATCTATCTATATCTATATCTATATCATCTTATCTTAAAAGCTGCTTAGTTTACATTAAAATATATTAGTCCCCAGTACCTCTAAAATATTCATATACCTGGCTTGGTGTGACTATTTCTTCTTAGGTTGCTCTGTCCAGTTGATCACCTTCAGCTGATCCTTTTTGGGATAGTACCTGGAAGGAAAAGAGGAGAAAGCACAGTAGGATTTTCAGGTTTTATAGGTTTCCACTTGAGTTTTTTTTGAGTGTGTGTGAAATGGGAAATTTGTTAGATTTAGGATAAGGTTATTTCTATCAAGGAATATGACTTCAAAGACAAATAAAGGGTTGTTGTAATTTGTTGAGGTTGACAGTAGCCCTTTTGTGCATCAGTTTCTTCCCAATGAACATAATGTCATTAAGAGGTTCTCAATGAATAATTTACTTGATTGATAGTAGTGTGATAGTGATTGATGAAATTTAAGTTGACTCCAACAACTGTGGCCCACATCTTCCAAACAGGAACAGAACTTCCACCCTTTCCGGGTGCCTCTCGGAGTAAGCAGAGGGAGTGCCCTCTGACAGTTCTGGTGATGGAGCATCAAGAAATATGATGTAGCAAAGGGCAGATTAAAAAAATAACAAGATACTAAATACTCTAAACAATTGCTTTAAGCTGAAAGATAACATTTATTTTTTTAAATATGTAAAATTTTTTAAAATTTGATTTTTATTTAGAAAAATATCCAAACATACAGAAGAGTGAAGAGAGTAGTATAGAGCACAACCCTACACTCATTCTCTAGATTTCACAGTTGTTTACATTTTGCTTTATATGCTTAACATTGGTTGTTTTACTGAAATATTTTAAGGTAAATTACAGAAATTAAGATAGTTAACCTGTAAATATTTCAGTATTTACCTCTAAAAATTTTTTGTTTTATAACATATCACAAGTAACAACTAACAACATTAATAATTCACATATAAACCTAAAACTCAGTTTATAGTAAAATTTGCTGAATCTTGCCAAAAGTATTTTTACTTGTTTTGCTTTAACTAGGACTCAAATAAAGACCATACATTATATTTACTTGTTATGTCTCTATTTTATTCTAGAACATTCTTCTCTCTTTCCCCCAATGATATTGATCTCTTTTAAAAAAATATATTTCATTGATATTTTACAGAGAGGAAGAGAGAGGGATAGAGAGTTAGAAACATCGATGAAAGAGAAACATCAATCAGCTGCCTTCTGCACACCCCCACTGGGGTTGAGCCCGCAACCAAGGTACATATCCCTGACCAGAATTGAACCCGGGACCTTTCAGTCCACAGGCCAGTGCTCTATCCACTGAGCCAAACCAGTTTCAGCTGATATTGATCTCTTGAAAGTGTAGACCAGTTGTCTTATAAATACTTAGAAATAAATTTAAAAACAGTTTTTCTAAAGGTTTCAAAAATTCAATATTTCTAGTATAATATATAAAATTGTTGAACTGGAATACAATGTTAAAGATGTAAAAATAAATAACATTTGATAATTTAAAGGGTCTTATATTGTGCTTCTAAATTATAGGCTCTCAGCTATTGAATTGTTAACAGTGTGAAGTAGTTTTGATATAGCACTTAGTAGATATGGGTCATAATACTAAATACTTTCCCTCTTTTTTCTTTTTTTGCTAGTAACCTGTGATATATATTTATTATATGCTTGTTATGGACAAATTGTGTAGTAGAATTTTTATTGATTTAAACCAAAATTTTCTGAATTCATGGCTTCATTAGAACAATTCTCAAATCACCTTAAGTTATTGCTCACTTAGTTGATTATAATAACCTAATACATTAATAGGATTTTCAGAAATTTCTAATTATTTCCATTCTTGAGTCACCCCTGAAAGCAACAGGTTCAATTTTCTTTAAATATTGGGAAAGCATAAGAATAACTGAACATATTATAATTTGATCTAGTGCCTTGCAGGTCTTATTTTCCAATAAATAATGACTATCATTTATCCTTCTAATGTTCTTGCAGTTGGCATTTTAGGAACTCATGAGCATGCTGCAGCATATATACACATTTAGCCTTAAACTATGGAAATTACTAACATACAGACTATAAATCAGCATTAGGTTATAGTGTTTTAATTTAGCACTGGGTGTTGGGACAAGGGGCATAACATGATAACCTTAAAGTGTATTTACTGCTCACTGAATTTTGATTTTCTGCAATAAAAAGATACAGCTGATTTTATGCTCTTCACTGCCCTCTCACCTTCACATCAAAATGCTTTATAGATGGGAAAAAGTTTCTTATCTATTTTAATCAGGACCAGATGTTGGTTAATTGACAAGTCCATTAAAGCAGAATTCATAGTAGAAGGTTTTTATCAACCCCTCCCCCCCTACTGTTTCCCAGTCCCATGGATTTTTCAGATTATTTTATACTTTTTAATCCTTTATAAAACCTAATTAAAATATAGAGAACATCTATTATTTCACTTAGTGCATTAATACAGCTGTATCAATACAAATTTTAGATTTTTTTGGTACAATTTAAAATCTATTTAAAAAAATTAAATTTGTTAGTTGACTTCCTTTAGTTTTTAGAAGGCCTTTGCAGAATGAGAGTCTATGGACTTCACTTTCAGGTTTAGATGAATAATCTGAATTTAAGAGTATGAGAATTTGGTAATGGCACAATGGAAAACTGACCTGGTGGAAAGTTTGTCTCAGCCTTGGCTAGCTTTGTTAGGATGTAATCTAACTTACGTCTGTATATTCAAGAAAGAGGAAAGAGAATGATGTTCACTTTCTTTCATTTTGATTTACTGCTATTATCAATCCTAATATTTTAATGTGCCTCTAGTCTTTTTCCCCCCAAAGTACTTCCATAGTTCATAATTATCAATGATCTAGAACAATCATTAGAAGCAAATACAGTGTTCTGGAAATCTGTTGGGGACACTCATTTTTCTTAATGCAACAAAGCCAGTGGACTAACAATGGATAATGGCGACATTGAAATTTTCTCAATACGTCTTTCTCTAAGTATGTTTATTATGGGAAGGTTAGATAAATAGTTTGTACTTCCCAGTAAAATGCCTCATTTGGTATTTTCCATTTCTCCCACATAAGTTAGCTCATCAATCTTCCTTTGTCATGACTATACCTTTTGTGTCAGCTATGTACCTCTGGCTTTAGTTTTATAAAACTAATCCTTTTTAGCCTGGAGATCACTTTCTCCTCCTTCTCCTCCTTCTCCTCCTCCTCCTCCTTCTCCTTCTTCTCCTCCTTCTCTTTCTTCTTCTTCTTAATATTATTTTTTTGAGGTTTCATTTTGATTATTTCTTTTGGTTTGAGTTTGGCAAAATCTCAGCTAAATCATTCCTTTGAGTAAAGCTCTTCTTAATTGAAAGAAATTACAGTTATTTTTGTAATTACCATTTCTGGCTCTGGAGTTTTAGGCCTACTCTAACAATGATATTTTGTACTGAAATAGGAGACAAAGACACAGAATAAAATGGTCTTGGACTGAAAAGGCAGAGAAAGAAACATATCATCCTATAGGGGATATAGAAGGACCAGTGGGCATTCCCAGGAAGAATGGGGAAGTGATTTTCTATCCATAGTTAGTCCTCGTCATAAAAGAATTGGTTGAGTTATGAAATGAATTAACAGCATTTGTATTTATTAACTTATTATTTTAATGCAGATTTTAATAAACAGAACAGTAGATGAAAAGGAAATGATTTTTCTGGCATATTCTGAAATCCTGTGAAGTTTTGTAAAAGATAAAATCTTAGTTCCCATGCACAAGAGAAGGATTGATTCATGTCTGATGAAAATGTGCTGGGGATGAGGGAAAGCAGGGGAAGGTCAATGGGGAAAAAAGGAGACATATATACAACTATTTGTACTACTACTATTTAAACAATAAAATAAAATAAATAAAAACAATAAAAATGACAAAAGAAAAAAAAGAAAAAAAGAAAACAGTTTAAGAATGTGTTATAGTCTTTTTAAGACTGGCTTGAAAATATTTTTTCTCTTTAGATTTTAATTATCTTTTTTTTTCTAGGAAGAGATAAAAATAATAAAAGAAATGTTATGAAATATAGTAAGATGTTTGTAATTCCAAATTCTATGTAATAAAATTTTTTAAGAAATATGATTCTTTGTCTAAACAATTGCTGAGAATAAGATTGTTTAAATTCCATCTGATCTAAGAAACAGATTAGGTGAACATGACAAAAGAAGGAGAGACTCAGAATTTATTTTCAATTAAAACAAAACGAAGTGGAGACATCTTATTAAAGAGATATAGTGCATGGGAATACTGGAAATCTATAATTTTTAAAATTTATTTTGTGTCACATATAGGAAAGGAAGCAAGAAAAAAGTTCTGATTATGCAGAAATCTTTTCTTTGATTAGCTAAGTACAGTTAAAGAAAGTGAAGGAAAGATACTAAAAAAGGTAAAATCATCTTGCTGTGATTTTAATGCCATTTTTCTATAGTCATAGATAAATGGACTTTGGTATGTTTCAGGAAGAAATTTGTTCTCTGAGTATAGAAAACAAACAATAAAGAGAGGTCTAACTAAGACTATAAAAAATTACAAAATGAAATGTGTATTATAATTTAGAATTAGTGAAAATGGTAACCAATTTATTACTAGAGTATAATGTGATAAACCATAGCATATGAACTTAATTTGGCCTGCTGCTTAGCTTTGTACCAAGTAAATGAATAATCGTGTTTATATTTTTAAAAGACTGCAAAAACAAACAAACAAAAAACAACAGAAAGTACCCAGAAAAGGCCTAAAATATTTACTCTCTGGTCCTTTACAGAAAAAGTTTGCTGATTCTGGTTTTAACTAGAGGAACATCTTTTTAAAAAGTCCATTTTATCATGTGATGTTTGGGCTTGTCTATTTTTAAAAGTCTTCTAAAAATATATAAAAAAATATTTTCTGGAAAATTTTGGTGTATTTTCTATAGAAATTTGTGTTCTGTATTTAATTGTATGTGCTCTGCCCTTTGACTTCTTAGCTGTATGACTTAATGTAAATTATTTAATTCTTCTGAGATTTTCTGATTTTCCTCATAGTAATATATGTACATGATTATGGGATCTAACTCATGGTATTTTTTCGTGAAGATTAAATATGTTAATGAGTATCACATATGTAGCAGGATCTGACACAAAATAAATGCCCAA